TTCTTTATAGTTTGTAACTGACGATGGAGAGAAAACAATTACAAAAAGTAAGAATGTCAGCAGAACTATAGAGAAATTGATAAAAGTGTGCACTAACCTCGGTTAGCTGTTTAAACAACCTGTCCTGAATTTCTATTCCGACTGAGAAAAAGTTTTCTTTGTCTCAGGTAAGCATTGAGCCGATATCTGGGATTGCTACAAAACTTAAACTTCGTCTTCAGTTTAATGGAATCATTCCGGGAGATTTGTTGGTTCCCGGCACAAATGTGACTTTTCTCCACAAGGTAATACCGATGTCGTGGACGGAAATAGGAACAACCATGGACGAAGAGAAGGCCAAGAAATTAACTTCAAAGGTAAATGTACATATTTGTATCTTCTCTTGTTGAAATACAAGATCTTCAAAGAACGTTTTATTGTCTTGTCACGAGTGGGAGAAAGAAAAAAATCTAAGTCTGCCACGGGAAATCGAGCTTCACACATTCGCATTTAGCGCCCCAATGGCTACCACTAAGCCACAGAACACTCTTTGATGAGATGGGCTATAACTATGCAGTTTCATATGCAATATCCATCCAGAGTACTGCCAAGTTGCCGAGATTGGCGAAGTTAATTGTGTAGCGTGAGTTCACTTCACACAATAGGCCAAAAGTCAAGGTCACAACTTAAGATAAAGATGAAGATAACGCCGCAGAATGTTTCACATTCCCGCGATAGCGATTTCTTAGCACAAAAGCTGCCTCGTACAGGCATTTCCTGCTTTAGTACACGCGGCAGCGGGGTCACATCTAAGTCGTAGGAGACGACATGAATGAGGAAGAGTGCATATTCCATGATTTAACTTGGTGAAACGACTTGTGTCGGGTCAGCCTGTGGATTGCCTTGTGCGATCCACCCGGGAATTGTTTCTTCAATGCCTATTCTAAGTCAGTTCATCCCGTGTTAGGCTTGCATCGTTCCGTAAAAAATATTTACCGCTATTGTTTCACCTCTCTACCATAACAGGTGTTTGGAGACCTGCAGCTGTCTTGTGGTTTGCTATTAGCCTTGCCCATACTTGGTGGAGTGTTAGTCATTTTGGGTGTAGCCTTGATTGTCATGGCAATGAAGAAACGCGAGGTTGTAGCTGTAGTGTGAGAGTTCCTTAAAGTAGATAAAAACTTCGGAAGTCATATTGGACTGTTCACTCTAAGGATATCTATAGGCTAATACAT